CAAAAACAAACGCTAACATACATAGAAACGGACTATTTGATAACAACTGCCATATTCCTGACTTGGTACAGGACATTTTTAAGAATAAATGGTGGGTTGAACCTGGTTTTATTGCTAGCAAAACCTTCCGCTTGTATGGCAATGTTAAAAATACCGCTAAAATGACAACATTACGTGACAGGAATACAGTACAAATAAACACAAAACTTAGGACAGAGAAATACATAAATAAATAATATAATAGTACATTACAACATGTAAACCACAGAATAACTACGGACACCTCCCATTAATTTACGACAGTACAACAGGACACCACAATAGAATTATAAACTGTGCGTCACACGATTGTATCAACGCCACAAAAAGTGACATATTTTTTGTGCCGTTTATTTTATCACAAGTAAATTTCTAAAAATAGAATATAAAATTGGGATTGAGTTTGTAATGGTGTTATTTTATGTATTTTCTAACCATGTCGGTTTTTCTTCTAAATCAAAACTGTGTATAAACAAAAAAATCCTGTGCATATAGTTGCTTTAAACTAAAAATCATATAAATGAACTAGCTGATTAATTACCTTAACTTTTACATACATATAGAAAATAAAAATAGAATTCAAACCACAAACGATAAGACATAACACAATATCCAACAAGACTTACAAAAGAAACATCATAACTAAATACATGAATGTTGGATGTATAAATACCGAGACACGTAGTATAGCAATGCGAATTCACACTCGGCAAAACAGTCATATTCGGGAATAGGTCACGTTCGGTACTTAACAGACCAGACGACGTAGATGGTAAACCACAATCTAAGACGTGGTAAAATGTCGTTAGTTAGTTTAGACACAGACACATCGTATTGATGAAGATTCCTCTTACGAAATATATAGTTTATCATATAGTATGGAAGTATCAAGATGATTATGTTTATACATGTGAAGTCATTTTGTGTGGAGATCGCAATGGGACTTAATTATTTACCAGATGGAACATGCACGACCAATTATTGAGAGTATTTGTATAAGAACTTGTAGACAGCTGGAGACCACAAATTTTAGTGACGTTGTATCACCTGTCTGGAGATTCACTATATCCTAATACAAAATTATTTAAATGTAAACACCATTAACTCTGGAACCCTTTTGCCACAAATATCTCAGCTCATGTACCAGTAGAAACTTTGAAAATTACAATGCAACTGGACAAGGACTCACTTGTATAAATAATGTTCAAACCCTTCTTAAAGTATTCAAAACTAACTAAATTGAATAATAATATGCTATTCTACACAATATAACATTCATCCTACCGAAACTATAGTTATATAACGTAACAGACATAACAACACTAAACGTCAGTGCTTTCAGAAAGAAAATATAATAGAACCTTCAAACTCTTCAACACATCTTGGCAATATACCAAGGGAAGAATCAAAACTCATAAGTCGGGGAGAGACCGACACATCCTGGCAATATACCAAGAGGAAATCAAAACTCATTAGTCGGAGAGAGACCGACACATCCTGGCAATATACCAAGTGGAGAATCAAAACTCATTAGTCGGAGAGAGCCCAACACATCCTGGAAATAAACGAAATATAACGGAGGACAATCAAAAGTCTACAAAACGCTACTTGAACAGCTAAAGACTGAGCAACACGAACAACACTAAATACGGGGCTATATCAGGTTATCTGCAAGGGTAGGCATATCCTGCTCAATATATAGCACTCATCTTGGTGCTCATGAAAAGTACATATTCACCTTTAAATCTAATTCGGTGATGTCACATTTGAGGGGGAAAAGGCTACATTCGAGAGAATAGCTACAATTAGAATATGTTTGTGGTAATATGCGACACAGATATCCAATGACGGTTATCAATGAAATCAATATGCAAACTCTTTTATACTGCATCACATGAACTCATCATAGATACAAGGATTAACATTTTGTACGTTAGACGCGCGTTCCGTTTACAAAAGACTCATCAGTGACGCTCATATTAAAATAGTTAAAGGGGGTAATAAAAAAAATGAAACAATACGTTATAAATTTCATGCGTCCGAAGCGCTTTTCTGGATTTACCTTAATCAGGAACGCTCAAAACCGAATATTTGAAAGCCAAGGATGTATAAGAACTGAAACAGTTGAAGAGTTATATTACCAAAAAGGACTTACAAAATAGCCAATTCCATCTAAATTAGAAAGAAGAAGAGCATTGAGGATTCAAAATTCCGAATGTATTTGCAAATTCCAATTAAGATTATCTATTCCTTTGGTAGAAAATTCTTAGTATTTCCAAAACTTCCAAGTAAACCGTTAATTTATAATTATTACCATATCAATGATAATTCATGAACAACACAAAAGTGCTGACTACTTGGAGATATATATTCCGTATGTAGGCGCTGCTGGGACATTGCCACAATTGGTAAAAATAGAAATTGAAAGTTCACAATTTGATTCCTGAAATCATCTCTTTTGTCCTAAAGTTTTGTTCTGAACTGAGCCTCGTCAATTTCTAGATTAAAGTCAAGATATGAGGCAGCCTTAGTTGTATCTGTGGTATCTGTTATTTCAAGTTCAACTGGATAGATCAGTTGAACATAGCCACCATGTTTTTAATTACCACATGTAGTATTTAGTGAGAAGACATTATCTTAATAGCAGATTGTTAAGTTAAAGGATAATCGTTACTTCATTTCATTTTATTCCTGAGAAGCTTCATTATGAAGTAGGTCTCAAGTGAATAAAGGAATACGTCATTAAGAAGAGGAGCAGACTTGATTCCCATAGGAATGCCGATTGTATGTTTAAAAACACGACCTCTTAACGTAACAAATATGTTGTCAATAGAAAATTAAACATCCTGATGATGTCAGTTTCAGAAAATTGTTTGTTTTAATAAGAGTTGTTTTTCAAAGTAGGCTATATCCCTTCTTAAAGTCTAAAGTTTGATTTTGTTATTTTGTATGGACTTCCACCTTTTTGAATTTACCCTGGAGCTCGGTATTTTTGTTAATACTTTTTTGTTACTACGTTGACCATTCTTTTTTTATGAAATACAGTTGGACTACCTCTTTCAATCTGAAGCTGATTAGTGTGTAATGGCTGCTGACACTCATCACTTTCATTTTGACTATCTTGACTTTTATCAAATGTAAATAGTGTGTGTAAAAAGTTTGATAGTCTAAAATCTAGAGTAATTTCATCCGAAGAAAAGTAAGCACAACCCCTAAACACCAGAACCATAGTGATGACAGTTTACAAAGTAAGCACAACCCCTAAACACCAGAACCATAGTGATGAAAGTTTACAAAGTTGCAGAACACTACAAGGTAAAAACTAGAGTGGAGTACCTGAATCTTTGTGCATTTTCAACAATGGCCGCTTTCCAACATAGGAATACAATTCATGACTAAAATTTATTTTTTTTGTTGATTTTGTTTGTTGATGATTTTTGCTGTTTTCGTTTTCTCTCTACCTTCTATATTTTTTGCCCAAATACAAAAAATAGGTAAAAATAGTCATTCAAGGACAATGATTTTCATTAGTGGAGTTTTTGAGTTTTTGCCCAACACATAAAAAAGGGTAAAAAAATCGCCATTTAAGGACAATTACTGCTGTGAGGAGTCAAAATATAATTTCGATATTGTTTTGATTCATTTGTAGCTCTTTCCTTGCTCATTATTTTTACTATTTACAGATTTTCTTTATCTATTATAGTTTTAGCATAATATGCAAACATTGAGTTAAAACCATCATTAAAAGGCAATAACTTCTATAAGTCGTCGCCTGTCAATTTAATCCATCTTAACAAATTTGGAGATCTTGAACTGTTGATTATTTTTGCTGTTTAAAGTTGTTTTTTAATTTATTTATTATACTTTTGCAAAGAATGCCATGATGCAAATAAAGTTATCGTAGATACCAGGCTTAATTTTTTTATGCCAAACTACAAAAGACTCATCAGTGACGCTTGAATCTAAAAAGTGAAAAGGGCCAAATAAAGTATGAAGTTGAAGAGAAGTGTCGACCAAATGATGATTGTGGCAAAGTTTGGTTCCAATTGATCCATTAGTTTCAGAAAAGATTTTTGTAATAGTTAACAGATGAAGATGGACACCAAGTGATGAGAATAGCTCAAGTATGGCTACAATTAATTCAATTGTTCTTGAACAAAACTTGGAAAGTTCTTTGTAAGGAAAATGTGAAATGTTAATGGATGGGTGACAACTGACAGCAAGTGATCACAAGAGGCATATAAAATGTTGTAACAATAATTTACTTCCTGTTATGTACTTATCTGTACTTTTTCAAGCATTATAATTATTCTTCGCAGGATTCGTTTATATTCCTTTCTCAACAGATCACAATATACTATTTGAATGAGTTTTCCTTCATGGTTTATCCAAAGTCAAGAACATGATCAGAAATTTATACTTCCTCAATCTGTTCATAATGAAAATAAAGAGATAAGGTATGAATTCTAATGAGACAACTTTCCATAAACCAAAGGATAAAGAAATGACAAATTACAGATCACTGTATAGCATTCAACAATGAACAAACCTCATTCCACATAGTAAGCTATAAAAAGATTCCAGTACAACAAAATGAATGGCGTCAATTTGTGGTGTTGATTTTCAGTCATCTCAATTTTTTCACAGTAATGGGAAATTTAGATTATTTAGAATAGACTGTTGGTGCCAGTTAACTGTTGAAGACTGTAGGGTGATTCCAAAATGTTCTTTTTTTTGGTTTTTGTGTGTTATTGGGTTGCTGATTATTTTAAATTTCTGTTATTAATAAACATAAAATATAATGAAAAGATTCTGAACGCAATATATCATTTCAAATTGTTATTTCTTTGATCAAACAAGTTTTGTTTGCTTATGTACTTGGTTAATGAAAATACTAAACTGTATAAATTATATATCTCATGCTACTTTTTTTAAAGGCTGTATAAAATTGTGAGTGAAGCTAATCTTATAACATTTATTTCACTTATCTACTAATATACAAAAACAATAATAATGATAATACAACAAATTACAATAACAATCCAAATCATTAAATTAGTGACAAGCCAATGCTACATAGTAATTATGGTTATCACAGCCTCTAAAAAACAAATCATCATTTATTTTTTTGAAGAAGGTGTGATTATTTTCAGTTGCTTAAGCTACAATAAATGAACACTGTAATTATATTTTTGAGCTAAAATGACTAGAAAATATTTTTCAAAACAAACAAATAGTTCAAATTTTAGATAAGAGATACCCTGTTTTGTCCACTCCGGTTTTACAAAATGTAAATGTATTTTTCTTATTCTAAAGGTCAGAACACTAATTTATGACTGTGTGAGACCCTTGTGGGTAGTCAAGGTTGTTAAACATCTCCATTGTAGAAGAAGTCATTTAAAGTTACATAGTTTTTCGTCAAGCTTTACATGAGGTACAAACCATTCAATGGTAAATTAAAATCAAATTTGAGCTTCAACTCTATCTTAAGTTTAAATAATTAGTATACAAAAGAGAACGATAATCTCTTTCTTCATGATAAAGTAAGAGCAGTAGAAACTCATTTAAAGAAATTCTTTGATATGAACTGTACATACACAATAGTATAAACATGTTTGACATACATATTTCAAATTAAGAAGCATCAATTCCTACAATTTCATTGGTCGAGAGCACTTTGCTATATTTTCAATACAATTAGACTCAGTCATGAACATAGCATATGAAATATTTCACAAAAATGGTGAGAAAACTTCTTTTTTTACACAACATTCTGCTGTTCTAGCAACATTAAATGTCAATGTTTTAAATATTTTCTCAGTTTAAAATGTGAAGTGCTTATTTATGTCCATAATATAACCACAAAAGGTGTCAGATCACCAATTCAAACTCCCTATCTATTCAACCACATTTTTTCAATTTTCACAGCTTTCCAAATATTTTGCCTCAAGTTTAACTTCATAGAGACCAGGCATATCCTGAATTGTACATGTATCATCTATCTACATGCCAATTTTCAACCAATGTTTAAAATCTTGAATTATAATACCAACGTTCAAGGGTACCTACTACTAAAAATAGCCCCTGGTTTTCTGGAAATCTTAAATAAGTATACTATGTAGCCCATTTATCCTCAATTTGTAATGCAAACTCATGGACAAGTAAATTTTGTCTTAAAATGGTCAAAATATATTTTACTTTCACCAAAAGTTTCATTTATGCTAATTTGTTGGTTAGTTTAAGTAAACAATGACATCAAAGCACTATGTTTTGTCAGGGAAGGGCTACTTTTACATATGTTCTAAATTAGAGTGGATGAATTGGTCGTCTGACACCAAAAGGTTGATCATGACTTCCTAAATTTTGATCATATTATTTGAAGCACAAATTGGCTTTTTAAATTGCAGGAGCTTACAAAGCACTACACAAATTATTTGAAAAAAAAGGATTCTACAACATATTGCACAGAAATTATAAATACAGATATGAAACTGTGTTGGTTACAAGTTACCATGGTTACAGGTGGTAACAAGTCCTAGACAAGTAGTATCGAAGTTCAAACAATATCAACCAAAACATTTTATAAATAACATTTTAAAATAATGTTGAAAAAACTTAATACACATTTAAAAAAATTGCAACCTGCAATATATATTTCACAAAAATAGAATACTTAGAATATATTTATTCACTTCATGAAGCAAAAATGGACCTGAAATTTTCTTTGCAGGTAGTTGCAATAATGATTTTGTCCTGTTAGATGTGTAATTATATAAATATACATAAAAGAAAGTTAAGACATTGTCAGAAGAAAACATTTGAAAAAAAAACGTTAAAAAAGTAAGATAAAACACTAAGTTTTCATAAGGCAGAGTGCACAACATTGATAAACAAGTAAAATAAATTGGGAATGTGTCCATGGGACACAGATGAAGCCCCCTCTTGCATATAATGTTATAAAGGGAGATAACTCAAGAACGGTAAAAGTGACACTACCCAAATTCTTACTTGATTTGAGTTTTGTGGTAATAAGCACTGTGTATAAGTTTCATAACATTTGGTTGAGGCAAACTTAAGTTAGAGAACAGAAACGAAAAATATAGCAATATTTCCATTTGTAAAGGGACATAACTCTAGAAAGGTAAAAGTGATGCCACCCAAATTCAAACTTGATCTGTGTTTTGTGGTAATAAGCAATTGTGTATAAGTTTCATAACATTTGGTTAATGCAAACTAAAGTTAGAGAACGGAAACCAATTTTGGAATGTATGGACGTACGGATGGACGGACTTACAGACAGACAAGGGTTAAACTTAATGCCTCCTCCACTACGGCGGGGGCATGAAAATGGCACAGCCAAAAAAAAAATGTTCTCTGTACAGCACACTGACCAGTATGCAGCAATTTAACAAAGTTATAATGAACTTGAAAATATGATCAGGATACAGTTTTTACCATTTGGGATGATTCAGGATATGTAACTCTTGGGAAGAAAGTGCAGCATGAATAAAATTTAAATCGAACTGTATGTCATGGTAAAAACAATCTTACATTTCTACTCCCAAATGAACTACATTTTCATTCCAGGTAATTGAAGGGGCATAAATTTGGAATGGTTATTGCAGTACCTGGTATTAGTGAAAAATTGAGTCTGACCTGCATTTCATGGTCAATAGTAACGTCATAAGGTGCTCCTCCAAAGTAAACTCAAGTTATCATTACAAAACAAATATTTCATTACAAACATGTAAATTGTTTCAAATATTTTACTTCAAATTTAAGATTTTTAGGACAGATCAAAAGAATTTCAAATCAATTGAATTTTAACAATAAATGGGGAATGTGTCCATCGGACACAGATGATGCCCCCTCTTGCATACAACATTATAAAGGGACATAACTCAAGAACGGTAAAAGTGACGCCACCAAAATTCAAACTTGATCTGTGTTTTGTGGTAATTAGCATTGCATATAAGTTTCATAACATTTGGTTGAGGCAAACTGAAGTTAGAGAACGGAAACCAATTTTGGGACGTACAGACGGATGTACAGACGGACAAGGGTAAAACTTAATGCCCCTTCCACTATTGTTTATTTCCAGTAATTGAGACTATTTGTAGAATAATTAAGTAAACATGGCGAATGAAAATATATGTCAGTGAAAAGTAAAATAAATATTTTCTTTTGCTTTACATAAGCAGTAAGAAAGACATATATATATACATTTGGCAAGAAGTTCTACATTTAATTACTGACAGTCAGAGCTCAGACTTCAATAAGTCAGATTTATCTGATTAAAATGTTTCGTTATATTTCTGGAAGTAAGAAATTCTCCCCATTTATATATATTGCATTGTTGATATTTATTTCCATGTATGTGCTTATATCATGTTTTGAAATTCATTGGGGTTTTTTTGCATTTTGATAAAAAAAAATTTACATCATTTACAAATTATTTCATTTAACCCTCATTTCCATGAATGCTGTCTTATACTGGACCAAATTAATGTCCAGTTAGTAATGTCGAACTTAAAGACACTTGTTCCAAAGTGCAGTAACAAAGTGTCAACGGCAAAACTGATTTTCATAGCTTGGCATGTTACATGGAACCTGGGTTAGTTTACTGATTTCGTAGCTGATCTGACAGAGTCAAAGGTACTTAGACAATGTTACTTCTCCTCAATTGTTAGATCAGTCCATTCACTATTCAAATATTCATAGTTGTTATTGGGCAGGTTTGTTAAAATCTTAAAAAACTGAAAGTTTCATGTTCAACTGAACAGGAATCAACCTAAATAAGTCTTACATATTCTGACTTTAGGAAGTCTAAAAAATGCTGTTATTTCCTTATAAAACATGAAAAAATACACAATTTGACCTGCAAAAGTCTCCAAAGTTCAAGTCTGAGCCCTGACTGAATGAAAGATTCATTTGCATTTTTTGTAAATACACAAATACCACTTTCACAAGTACAACTTTTATAAGTTACTATACTTGTTAGTGTTTACTCATTAAAAAAACAAGAAATCAATATTCATTTTCTATGTTTCTTAGACATTTGTATAAAATGTCAAAAGTAACATTCATTTTATATTTGTTATAAATTTAGCCAAAAATATTAGATGAGGAGGTATATATGCAATATACAAGAAAAAGTAAATGATACACCCACCATGTACTACTAGCACATAGTCTATGTTAATTACATTTCCTGGTGGTAAAATAATATGTATATAATATATACAGACCATGAAATTGAGACATGAAGAATCAATTTAACTATAAAATACACAGCATTTAAAAATATCCAGTTACAATTACAAATTTTTCATTTTTCAAGATTATTTCCTTTTTATTATAAGCTTCATGCCTGTATTACCTCCCCTTGATTTGTCTTCTTTCAAAGAAGATGTATAATTTTCATCTATCATAGTGTCTGAAGAATCATCTCCTTTGTCAATATGTTCTCCATTAGTTTTATCTTCATCAGAATCTTCATTCTTTTCATCTACATCAGAATTTTCATCTTTTTCATTATATTCTTCATCAATGCTGTCATCTTCAATTTCATCAGTATTATCCTCACTTTCTGTATCATCTATTGTTCTTGTTTTCTTTGATTTAGTCTTTTTCTTGGAAGCCATGATATTATTCCTTTTCAACTCTGTTCCATTGAAAATGGCCTCCTGTTTATGATGGCGCTCAGATTCACAATGTTTTGTGTAAGAACTTTTGTAATTAAACTTCCTATTGCAGGGAACACATTCAACAATTCCTTCACCTGAAAAGTATACAAACTTTATAAAGAAAATCATAGCAAACATATGGCAAAGAATAATCTCATGTAAATAATCCAACAAGATATTTCCATGATTTTAGACTGTAGCTTTTACTTTTTCTTAACTTTCATCTGTAATGTTAAGTATTATTATTAATAATATGTTCTTGTACTTAATAATTACTTCATACATGTAGTGTACATGTACATTTGTATATTGGTTGTACAATGAATTTTATGATTGTGTTCTTTTCAATCCTCAACCAAGCAGTGATACTATTAGCTGTTATGCAGGAATTATGCAGACTGAGTGTAAAATTACCTGGTAATTGCAGTGTAAGGGTATATATATACAGGATATAGGAGACAAATTTGTGAATGGAACATTGGAACCCTGTGATTTTTGTGGGTATCAATTTTCGTGGATTGGGGACAAATTTTATTTTTCAGGGATATTTGATTTCATGGTTTAGCCAAAGTCTATTATTATGTGGATTCAACTGCGTTTTATGCCAAAGGTTTTAAGTGCATACATTTTTGTAAGCCGTCTAAGATGGGACATATTATGCATATTATGGTATATCATGGTCTGTCCGTTCGTCTGTTTTCAAAACTTCAGACAATAACTCAAGAAATCTTTCATCAATTTTCATGAAACTTTGGTGAATTGTTTATATCTTTTGATGTAAGCTCCCTTTTGATTTTTATAAATTTTAGATTTTAGGTTTCTGAGTTAGGAAATTTTATTCATAAAAAAGGGGGGATTTTCCAGTTTTCAGACACTAACTCAAAACACTTTGAACAGTTTTCATGAAAATAAGGTGACTTGTTTATATTTATTGAAATAAGCTCCCTTTTGTTTTTCATAAATTTCTGATATGACATTATGGAATTTTGGAATTTTATATAATTCGTTGAAAAATCATCAAAATTAAATGGGCGACAGGCATATCATGTGCTTACTGCACAGCTCTTTATCATAATATGCTGTAGTTTCTTGCATCACATAATTAAATAAAAATGTGACAAGACACCAAGTGGACAATAAAAAAAACCAACATGGCCAAAAGAAAAACAGAGAAAAGACAAACAACTGTTCATGAAACACAACACAATACGATAATGTTTGAGCAACACAAACCCCAATATATTCCAACAGTGAAATCAGGTACATCTCTACTCCTCCGTCATCATGTCCAAATTGTTGAACATTCTGTCTAAATCAGAACTTAATTTCATTGATCAATCATGTTAATTGTTGTCATATCTAAAATAAGTAGATTATCATGATTATCAACAATGTTAAAAAAAATGGTTATACACGTTATATACCTGTATGAATCTTTCTGTGTACATTGAACTGTGACCTCTTACGGAACTGTTTTTCACATAAATCACATGGAAAGGGGAAAATCCCCTCATGTTTGTACTTGTGATCACGTAATTCTGTTCGCTGGAAGAATTTCTCCCCACAAACATCACATTCATGTGGCCTAATACCAAGATGTATTCTTTCATGTCTCATTTTGTTACTGTACCTCAAAAATTCACGACCACAATATTCACAGTTGTACATTTTCCCTTCGTGTTCTCCTCGTAAATGTATTCTCACCTCTCCTAAGGTGAAAAACATAGCATCACACTTTTCACATTTATGGCTCTTTTCACCAGTATGTCTTTTCATATGTCTGTTAAGCTCACCTCTAAACCAATATTCTTTCTTGCATAAGTTACATTTATATTGCTTATTGCCCTTGTGTTTCATAACATGATGCTCTAGGTGTATTTTGATCCTGTAACCCTTACCACATATTTCACAAACAAATGGAACTTCACCAGTATGGACCCTCATGTGGGTGTACAAGTTAGAAATCTGATTAAATCTACGATCACACTGATTACATTGATAGGGTCTCTCATTCGTATGGGACCTTACATGCATTGTTAGTTGGAATTTTTCTGTAAAACCTTTACCACAATATTCACATTTGTGTGGCTTTACACCAAGATGGGCTTTCATATGGGATCGTAAATTTGCATTTTTATTGAATCCTTTTTGACAAATATGGCATTTAAACGGTCTCTCTTTGAGATGACAAAGACGATGGGTTTTCATGTTTGTTTTGTGAGCAAACTTTTTTCCGCATACATCACATTCATGATTCCTTTCACCAGTGTGTACATATCTGTGTTTATTCATTGTTGTGTATGTGGTAAAGGCTTTATCACACAGAGAACATTTGTACGGCTTTTCTCCACTGTGTATCACACTATGTCGACGTAAATTCTGACGTATCTTAAAAGTTTTACCACAAATATCACAAACAAATGGTCGATCACCAACATGTTGTTCTAAATGTTTCACCAAGTTCTGTCCACTCACAAAAACCTTTCCACAATATTCACAACTTGATGGTTTATCTATCTGGACAGTATCCGATGAATATATTGTACTATGCATGTAGCTTTTCATGTACTGATTAGCTTCTGAATGAGTTGTTGCCAGTTCCGGTAGATCTGGGACTTGTGAGAAGTCAAATGGTTCAGGGGGTGCTATTTCTGTTTTAATTAATCCAGCCATTACTTCATCTTTAATCAGTCTGTCTAGTTCTTTTTTCTCTTCATCAATGTCCTTATCCTCATGCAAACTAATTGGTTCTCTTTTAATTTGATTTTCCTTCAAGATTTTCTCAGTGGATTTACCTATAGTCAATACTTTTTTAGAACTTGTATTTGTTTTTTTCTTTTTGTTTCTACTAGACGTCCTCTTTTTGTGTATGCTTTTCTTTTTCTGTTGCTTTTTATTTTGCATATTACGTCCAAATACCTCCGAATCATTATATAAATATGATTCAAATTCAACATTATTTGTTTCACTGTTATTTGTTATATCACAATCATCTTTGCTTAATTTATCCATGTTAGGTTCCCTGCTAAGAATATTTCTTAAAACTGAATTTTTAACTTTACTGGTACATTTTGTACCAGGAACATTGTCTACAGAGTCATTTAAAGGTTGTCCATCAGCTTCCAGCACTTTGCAGGGGAGATAATTATCATCAGACAAACTAGATTTTGCTTCATCCTTCCCAGAAAAATCACTGCTTTCATTGACCAGATACATTTCTCCATCATTGCCCTCCACACTGTATTCCTGCTTTTCTTTATTGGATTCATTCTTCTTTTTGATGCTGTTAATTCCATTTTGTTTGAATACTTCTGTCAATTTTTGATAGATTGATTTGGACAGTTGATTCAGTTCGCCAAAATTCATTAAATCTGATGGTATATCTGAATCCACAGGTTCTTGTTTGATATGAACAATATCTATACTGTCATCCATCATAATTTCTATTAAGATGCTTATCTGAAAATAAACAAACATCATCTTACTTTTAAAAAGATATAAAAATTTACAAAATATATTTTACAACAATATCTTATAGCAATAAAAAATGGTAATGAAGTCCAACAAATAAAAAAAAAAACCAAGAGATTATAAAAGATGTACTGTAAATTAATAAATTATTGTGTGCATATTATTGTGAATTTTAAAGAATGGACTAAAATGCGAGATTAATTATTGCGATTTGAGGAAAATCTGCACTCCGATGTATTTATCAGATATCTGAATGCAAGTTCTAATTAATGCGATACTTACTCAGTCGCATTATTCGCATTAATAAAAACCTCACAATAATTTCTAAACTTTCAGTATTTAATTTTTTCACATTGGTTTGTATTGCATGAAGTCTTTTTAAGCACCACCAACATTTAACTGACCACATGACTGATCACATGACTACTAAAATGTAAAAAAACTATGACAAGACTTGTTTAAATGGGTCTTCCCTCCTTAGCTTTGAAATTTACTTAAAATTCAAATATTTTGGTACAATATCTGCAATGTATATATATATATTTGATATGATGATCTCTTAGACATTTCAATTTTTCTTTATCATGTTTATTATATCACAATCATAAAATGATACAAATAGCTAAAACTGCTGACTCAGTGGTAAATACATGTATTAAGACATTCGCATCTTTTTGACAAAACATCATTTTCAGAAGTTAGTTGTACAGGTTTAGCTTTACTAATCTTATTTCAAGATTTATGGTGATAAAGAGCTTATATAATGTACAATGTCATCTGAAGCCGGGATATCTCTTATGGGTGATCATGAAGCTCCAACTTCATTGTTGAACTTAAATGGAATCTTGACTTTAACATTCCTGTCCATTCTGTTTTCTTATATTGTGGCATTGCACAAGGTCATGTGTTTCTCAGACTGTTTATGACATCTTTATCCGTTGGATGTGTACTGATTGATACTTTAGTCTTGGAGAACATGATTAATTTATTAGTTGTAATTGGCTTTGGACTAGCTATCAGTTTCTGTAAGTACTCTCATACCAGTGCATTGTGTCTATTTGTTATCATGTCAGTTATTTCTTTGTGCTGTACCAATCTATTGAGTTCAGATATATTTTACAGTCTGTTCTGTTGTACTGTTACACTACTGTACTCAGTTAAGGGTGGGGTTGAGCTCTAACAAACATCTTTAACTCTGTCACATTTTTTCAGTGCCTATACCAAGTAAGGAGCCTGTTAATCAGTGGTTATTGTTGGTTCATGTATGTCATATTTTTTGGGGTAAATTATTGTTTAAAATTGGGTCATTAGTTCTCTCGTATGATTGTTTCACATTTTTCATGCCATGGCTTTTTAAAGTCGACTATACTGTATGGTTTTTTCTCATTTTTGAAAGGTGTACAGTGACCTATAATTGCTTATATCTATTAAAGTCATTTGAACTCTGATGGATAGCTGTCTCGTTGGCAATCATATATACCACATCTACTTATTTTCATATTTACTAATATTTTTTTTGTTTTCAATGCTCCTGGCTACAAGTATCGATAAGTATAATAAAATGATGAACAACTGAATGACATAATAAAAACAGCAAAACATGATCAGTGAAACAGGAAACTAAGAATAATATTAATTGACATTTTCATAATATACTATTACATGAAGCTATCCAGCCTTTCTGTGACTTTTATTTCCCATAATAATGTTATTCTTACTCTGATTTACTACAAACTTCAAATGAAACAGCCATTGTTTGTAATTATATGTAAATCAATATTTTCATTATGTTGATGTCTGCATACCAAATTTGGGTTGAATCAGTAATGAAATTTTCATTTTAGAGTATCACAACGATAGCAGAATAGTTTAGAGCGTGTAATAGTAATATTTTACTTTATATTGACGAAATGCAATGACATTCTCAAGTTGACAAACGATACTTAATCCTGGAACAAAGCACCAACATCTGCATCATCTGTCTGCAAAGTGCACGAACAGTAATTGTTGGGCCGACACCGGATCGGAGTGGTAATTCCGCGTTATATGGAAATGTCCTATACGAATGTTAATATTTGAACTATCAAATAAACACGGAAGGTCAAGTCGAATTATTCACTGTCAGCCGGTGACCACTGATACTTTTTTTAATGTCACACTGAAAAGTGTCGTTTGTGAAACATTATTAGCACGGGTAATCCTAGTCCAAACTGGGACTATTATATATACTAATATTTCTTCCATTTGGAACTTATATTACGAAGGAACTTCTATTCCATGACTTTAGAAAGCGTCAATCAAAAATATAAAAATAGCCTTTCTAGACGTCATAATTATTTTTTTTAACTAGGGTGACCTATATATTACGATTTTATGAACAGTAAACAAATAAAATACCTTTGAATAGTAAACATTAAATACCTTTTTGTATTCGAGTTATGTAAACCAGAGACATATATACATATGTCTCTGTGTAAACAGAGGCAGATCTAGCCGGATTTTAAAAAGGGGACGGTGGAGGGGCACTTTCAAAAATAATAAGATGAGCCTGGTAATAAATTTGGAAAATGTGTTTTATTTTTTGGAAAGAAGCCCCCTCCCCCTTACGCTAGTTAAAATGTAATCTATTTACTAACAAAGACTCTTTTCACTGATGGTTACCATTTTACTACGGAGTTGTTTTAGTTTGATAAATGACACTTTGTCTGGTTTTAACAAAACAAAATAGACGCGGATTAAGGAAATTTCATAATGCCGGGGATACTAGGGAAAATGGAAGAGGGGTCAAGCCGAATTTTTGAAAGTTTTTGCATGATCTTAGAAATTCGAAGAAATTGACAGTTCCGACCCCGGATATGCCCATATGTATCTTTGAAAGTCAAATAATTCATACTATGCAGGTGAATCAGAAGATGATACATATTTCATAAAATACAGGGGGAAAATATTCATAATATTCAGTAATAAAGGATCATAAAGGTTTTATTTTTAAATAGGGCAGTTTAAAACATGATTTAGAAATTTTATAGCTGAAAGTTGATTTTTTTAGTGCAGATCTCATGGATTCTGTTCGTCTCAGCTATATGCAAGATACCTACTTGATTGATATGCACTATTACACCCCTAGAATTTCTTTCTTTTATTCATCATGTATACAGATGTTCAAACGGATCAAAATCTTTGATCTTATTATAAAACTACATAAAAAAATGACTTCCATGAAGAGTGATTGGGACAACAAAAATTTTAATTGCTACGAAGTTTTTCACGTAGATTACAGGGATTATCAAGTTAAAGAAAATGTCCTTTCTATGGTGGCCGTTTAGGCCATTTCGCGTTTTCGCGTTTTCTCCCTTCATATTCTATAGGGCGAAAACGCGAAAAGGCGAAATCGCGAAGTCGAAAACGCGAAAACGCGAAATATTTTTTCTTTCCGATTTCGCCTTTTCGAGTTTTCGCCCTATAGAATATGAAGGGCGAAAACGCGAAATGGCCTTAACCGGCCACCATACTTTTCTGCCTTATATATAATTTTTCCCTAGAGTATTTTGATAGACGGACTTAACTGAATAGGAGGTATAACACGTATACTCCAAACAAGGAATTGTATAATTCCTTACTGCAAGGTATTCATTATCAAATTTAAAATAATTACAGTTTGATTTTCCATGAAGTTATTTGAGGAACTCATTTACGGTGTATTCTGTATCCCTTCTCGAGTTTCTGATTATATAAAATAATGTCATCGACATATAATGATATGATAATGACAGACTTCTTATTATTGGCTCCGTAAATGCATCTCAGAAATTTTGAGTTTGTTTAACCTTAAGGTATAGAGCTAGCTATAAAGTGTAGATACTATATTGTATTCTTTAATACCGTCGCTGGTGTTAATTTCCAGATGTTTTCGGCTTGTTTGATTTTTGGTGGTTTTTTGTTGTTGATATTGTTAGTGGGTTTTTGTTTGTTTGTTTTTGTTTGTTTTTGTTTTTGTTTGTTTTTGTTTTTGTAGTTTTTCTTGGTTTTTTTAGGGTGTTTCATCGTTGGGTTGTTGATTAATTGACAAATACCAAACCCATCACGTCAAAACACAGGGGTTGTATTCAGGACTCACAGTACAATTATAAAGATTAAACGCATTTTATTGGGGGATAATTCTACACATAAATAAACTTCGGACAAAATGTATTTAATCCTATAATAAACCAGCAAAAAAAACCCAATTAAAACCTAAATTATACACATAAAGGTACACATTTGATCTATACCGTCTTTTAGGGATGTGGGATACAAAGATGGGGATGTGGGAAATAGGGGGTACGCAAGTGGGAGCTTGAAAAAAGAAGACAATAAAATGGGAAGTGGGAAAAAAATACAAAAAGGCGGGATTTGGGGAAATGAGCACCTCTTTGTCACCCCGCCCCTCTTTCATAACTTGTACGGTTTGCTCTTGATAAAGATGACTTTGATAAATATATGGTCTAACGTTGATTTTGTCAGCTTTTATGGACTTCAGTCCCCTTTTTTAATTTGCCTTGGAGTTCGGTGTTTTTGATATTACTTTTTTACAGGGCTACCGATAAAAAAATGAAATTTTTAACTCGACGGACATTTTTTTTGCATCTTATACAACAGCAACTGCTAAGGGAACGACCATTTAACTTCAAAGGGGTTATGGTTTTTTCCTTAAAAAAAAATTATTCTGATCCCCAATTTGATGAAAAAAAATATTGTGGTCAAGCAGTTGACAAAAAAAGTATTCTGAATCTCCAGATTTTCCCCATACCTTATAGTGTTAAATTTTGAAAAAAAAATAATTTGATTGATAGCGTCGAAAATCTAAAAAAAATTGTTCGCGAAAAAAAATTTACTGACTCAGACAAAAACATAACCCCCCCTTTTGAAGTTAAATGGTTGTTCACTAGACAGGTGTGATTTACTCACTAACTAAAGGTTCTTTTGCCGATCGTCTTACGATTTTAGATACTTACTTAATCTCACGATTACTACCGATTTCAATCAAATTTTATGAGAATTTACAACACTGACTTGTTATATGGGTGTTATCGCTGATTTAGTTTTGTTTTCTCGAACGACATTATCCAACCAACAGCAGTAGCTACCTACTCCAGCTTAATGTAGTAACGAACACATTTGAAACCCAATATCCAAATTATGTGCTAATTTATGATGTTTTTCCTTGATCAAATTCGAGATCATCATCTTTGAAGTGCACTGTACAGTTTTTTTTATTGTGAATACACGTAAATCTGGTATACTCCTACCACATTTTTTTCCTGTGCCAAAGAAAAGGTAAATAAAACTCATAAGTCTATGAAAAAAAGACAATATTGTGGCTAAAAATGACACAAAGGCAAACACACTCTGTACAAAACTGAAGATTGATCGAGCAATACCCACCAACTGAAAAAATGGAGGTGATCTCATGTGCTCCGGAAGGGCTTATAGTAGTCTCAGGGAAAGATAAGAATATTCTGCTCCACTAGTCTAGTGACATCCGTCGTATTGATCATGAAAAGTGAAAAATCGGTGATAAGTCGCATTTTGTGAGGTCATAATCGAGGAAAAGATGACGGGATTGTGTTTACGGCAATTAGAACATATCCATCGTCATCTGGGAAACAGATATTCCAAGTCGGTCAACCAACTCGTGATAGCGTCCGTAAAATTTTCGAAGAGGTGACTTTAACTTAACCAATAGAAACCCTTGGTTCGATAGGTCAATTGTAAGCGCAACCCTCCATCCAGGAAATCATAATAGGAAACTCAAGCTCCGGAATATTGTATTAACTATGAGATATAAACTCCATTTGCAGGCGCTGCTGAAATTTTGATACATATAAATGGAAAATTTGCAGTTGGAACGCTGGAATCAACTCTTTTGTCTTAAACTTCGTTCTCAACCGATCCTTATTGTCAATCTCTAGATGCAAATCAATATATATGCATGCAGACTTTCTGTATATGTGGTATCCTTTATTTCAAGTTCGATGGGATAGATGAAGTCAAAATAGTACCAACACTTTGAATTATTTAGTGATAAGGTATCATCTATATACAGGAACGAGAAGTTAAAAGGATAATTCTAGCTTCTTTTAATTATCGCTGAGGAGAATGTCAAGTTAGCTATAGGCTATCTGTATTGACCATAATAAAATGATTGTCAACGGTCGTTCGCAGTTGTTTGTACATGTGTATTTGATTGTACGACTTTTTTGTTGCAGAAAGAGTCGGGTATTGGTGGGTGATGTGGTGTGTTGTACTGTCCAGTATTGGGCTATTCCAGAAATATTCTGTCCCCCCCCCTATGGAAGACATAAGATGTAAAAAAAAAAATCCATGGAAATATTTTTCACTATTACCAAAATTTTCTGGAATTCCAGATTTTAAACGCATAATAAAACTTAAATATACTGGAATTTTTTTCATGATGCTGTCAATTTGTCTGGAAATTTTAGTGTAAAGATTAGAAGCAATACCTATGGAAGACATCGATTTTATTTCTTTTGTCTGGAATTTATCTGTTTTTTTTTCTAAATGTGCCAAAAAAACTGGAATTTTATACTTAGTAAGTAACATATATGCAGCCGTATAAACCAAAAGAAGTGTGTTTAAAAGTTAAGCGCAAACAAATCCCTGACTAGAAGAACTGTTAGCCAATATGTTTACCAGTGTATATAAAGTCTTGTCATTGCAGACAAATACACCACTATCCCAGGGGAATTTGGATCCAGCACATACGTTTTTTAACCTCACTGCATATATTTTCTATATATATATATATATATATCTGTCCCAAGTCAGAAGCCTGTAATTTAAGTGGTTGTCGCTTATTACTGTATTTCATATTTGTTTTTCATTTATTGTTTTGTATATCAATTTGGCCATTAGTTTTTCTCGTCTGTATTGTTTCACACTGGTCATTTTCAGGCCCATTCTAGCTTACTATGCTGTGTGAGCCTAGGCTCCAT